ACTCCTGATATATATCAGAAGTAGATAATAGGGAAATTCCCTTCCTGATATCTACTCCTATTATCTACTCCTGATATATATCAGAAGTAGATAATAGGGAAATTCCCTTCCTGATATCTACTCCTATTATCTACTCCTGATATATATCAGAAGTAGATAATAGGGAAATTCCCTTCCTGATATCTACTCCTATTATCTACTCCTGATATATATCAGAAGTAGATAATAGGGAAATTCCCTTCCTGATATATATGATATACTTGCTCTGTGATGACTTATATACGCGCGCGTTACAGCTCGTCGATTGAATTACACCGTGTGTACTTCACACAGTGCACGTACGAGCTTCGAATGACGATGAAATGCGTTACTGCAGTAATTGTAGGAAGTCATCAGGCGGTGGGTGTACTTTGTAGCTTAAACAGGTTCAACAGTATATTCGTCTGTCACGAGCTCCGCGTGGTGGAGAGACGTGTCAGTAAACACTCGACCAGTGTTGAGAGAGCTCGCCGAGAACCACTAATATAATGTGTCATTATGACATGAAATCCGTAATGCGAGTTTCTGCGAGCCGTGTCGGGTGGGGGGGAATCACGTGATACTGTACGTCATATCGAATTATTATAATACATTAATTCGCTGATATAGATAGGTCTTATCTTCTTTCTTATATTCTATATCTATGATTAAATTCCTACGACACACCCATTTCCATGTTCCATTATTAATCCTGATAGGGCATTCAGCCGGGTATATATCCTTATACAAGATGGATAATAATAGATAATAATTAATGGATACCGGTAATATATGGATTGTGCCAATGCTTATATATACCTTTCAAATATTTGCAATAAAATAAAATTCGTCTTCAATGAGAATAAGAATAAAGAGCAAGAATAAAGAGCATTGTTGGTACCTTGCAATTAATTATTCAACTGAGATCTAGTTTGACGGATCCAGCGGGTATCACGGGCAATTAATTCCACTCTTAATTCTCCCAGCCACAGAACTAAGACCAGCAACCGGAGAGAAAAACGTGGATGACTTTCGAATTTTATTAGTGAAGAAGGCAGATATGGATGAGGTAGAGGCGGGGAAGACGAAGTCCGCGAATCTTTTCGCTAATCTAACGCTGCTCGTCGCAGTTTTGCGTTATGTCCGTTATCGCCTTGGTTACTCTCGTTGCCCCGTGGGCGCTTATGCGTCGTTCACATAGAAATAGTGCGAGTCGGTCATCCGCCATATTTCTATGGTAGTCTTACCGCGACGATTGCGTGGAAATACCCGTAACTAATGATAGAAAAAGAAGATTAAGCTAGATTATGATGAGACCAACAGCTAGTCGCGCAGGATCATGGGCATCACGGCGTTTATTGCTAGCATTCATGACGCTTTCGTTATATCCGCGGGCGGGAGGGAAATTTTTTTTTCCCACTTGAGTTCCGGACCACAGCCAATCAGCGCACTCCATTCACTCGACTTCCTCGAAGCAACAATGTAAAATGAATACCACCTATACCTAACCCTAATCCTAACCCTAAACCTAACCATAATCCAACCATATATATACGAACCATATATTACAAAACACTATCTATGGTGGGTTCGGAACTCAAGTGGGAAAAAAATTTCGCGGCTGGGAGAAATACGCAATTGATTATTACATGGTAGGTTCTATGATAATACACCAAGAATAGTCGAAGAAAAGGACGTGCGACAACAAGATCCGGTAGCCTAAGTGCAAAATGTCATCTTGTCGCTTTCGTTATCACGGAGTTTAACACGAATGGACAATAATTATTGCATAGGTTTGACAGGGCAATACGCGAATATAATGGGCAAAGAAGCTGATGTCTGTATCTATGTGTGCATCATCTATAGGTGGTAAGTTACACGTAAGTTGTCGCAGTGGATGTAAACAGCTCACGGCTTTCACGAGCGGTATAGTTCCCCTGCGCCGATATTCACCTCTCTTTGCCGCACAGTAATCATCCATGCTATAGTGAGGGGGCGCGATAGAGATAAAGAAGCAGCGAGGGAGGGTGAAAGGGACAAAAAAGACAAAGAGAGAAAGAGAGAGAGGGGAGATGGAGAGAGAAAGAGAGAGGGGGTATGATGGAGAGAGGGGCGGAAAGAGAGAGAGCGCGTCCGCGAGAGAGGGAAAAGAGAGAGAGAGAGGAGAAGAAAAAGAGAGAAAGAGAGAGAGGGAGAGGGAGAGAGAAGAGAGGAGAGAGAAAGAGGAGAGAGAGAGAGAGAGAGAGAGAGAGGAGGTATGATGAAGAGAGGGACGGAGAGAGAGAGCGCGCGTCCGCGAGAGAGGGAGAAAGAGAGAGAGAGAGAAAGAAAAAAAGAGAAAGAGAGAGAGAGAGAGAGAGAGAGAGAGAGAGAGAGGGAGAAAAGCGCGAGACAAGAGAAAGATGCGAAAGAGAGAGAGCGAAAGAGACAGACAGAGACGAGAGAGAGAGCAGAGAGAGAGAGGAGAGAGAGAGAGAGAGAGAGAGAGAGCGAGAGAGACAGACGAGAGAGAGGAGAAGAGAGAGAGGAGAGAGAGGCGAGAGGAGCGACAGAGAAGAGAGACAGACAAGGTAGGGAGACAGACACAGAAGAGAGAGAGAGAGAGAGAGAGAGAGAGAGAGAGAGAAGGAAAGAAAGAAAGAGTATGCATAGCGAATTATACTCCGTTGTGTACCAATACGCCTGCGCACAGCAAATAAAACGCCGTTACTATTATTGTGGGTTATCCTAACCCACCCTGTGTGTACTCATACGTGCGTGCGTGTGCGTACGTGCGTCTGTGCAATTGTGTGTGTGTGGGGGGGGGAGGGTGCGTGTACGATAGGATAGGTCAAAAGCACATCATTATAGAGAACAACCAAAAAAAGCACGAAAGGATGCCCACGCTCGGTATTGATAATATAATTTTTATCAATTTTTAATTTATCTTTTTAATATTTCAGATGATGCCTGGTGCAAGAGTTCACCAACTTTTAGTCTGATCTAGATTAGGAATTATCTGTAACTTGGCGGG